AAAAAAAAAAAAAAATTAGCCAGGCATGGTGGCATGCACCTGTAATCTCATCTACTCAGGAGGCTGAGGTGTGAGGATGCCTGAGCCCGGGAGGTTGAGGCTGTAGTGAGCAGAGATCATGCCACTGCACTCCAGTCTGGGTGACAGAGGAAGACCCTGTCTCAAAAATACATATATAAACGTAGTAGGGGGCTGATCGAGGGCTTTGTTGCTTCCCTGGCCGTTGTGGTGGGCGCCCGTAGTTCGTTACTCAGGAGGCTGAGGCACAAGAATCACTTGAACCCAGTAGGCAGAGGTTGCAGTGAGCTCCAGCCTGGGCAACAGAGCGAGACTCTGTCTACAAACAAACAAACAAACAGAAAAACATGTGCTTTCAGCCAGGCATGGTGGCTCATGCCCATAATTCCAGCACTTTGGGAGGCCAAGGTGGGCAGATCACCTGAGTTCAGGAGTTCAAGACCAAACCAGCCAACATGGTGAATCCCCATCTCTACTAAAAATACAAAAATTTTCTGGTAGGTGCCTGTAGTCCCAGCTACTGGGGAGACTGAGGCAGGAGAATCACTTGTCCTCGGGAGGCGGAGGTTGCAGTGAGCCAAGATGGCGCCACCGCACTCCAGCCTGGGTGACAGAGTGAGTCTCCGTCTCAAAAAAAGGAAAGAAAACATATGCTTGCACAAACACTTGTACATTGATGTCCACAGAAGCATTAGCCACAGTAGATAAAAGGCAGAAACAACTGTCCATCAGCTGAGGAATGCAGAAACAAAATGTGATCAGTCCACACAGAGACAATGTTCAGCAGAAAAAAAATACAGAAATGAAACACGGATATGTGCCGTGACACGGATGAGCCTGGAAAACATCACGCAGGTACTAAGTGAAAGAAGCCACTCACAAAGGCCCACGATTCCATTTTTTTTTTTTGAGACGGAGTTTCACTCGTGGTACCCAGGCTGGAGTGCAATGGCGCGATCTCGGCTCACCGCAACCTCCGCCTCCTGGGTTCAGGCAATTCCCCTGCCTCAGCCTCCTGAGTAGCTGGGATTACAGGCACGCGCCACCATGCCCAGCTGAATTTTTGTATTTTTAGTAGAGACGGGGTTTCACCATGTTGACCAGGATGGTCTCGATCTCTTGACCTCGTGATCCACCCGCCTCGGCCTCCCAAAGTGCTGGAATTACAGGCTTGAGCCACCGCGCCCGGCCCACGATTCCATTTATAGAAAATGTCCGGAACTGGCAAGTGTACAGAAATGGAAAGCAGATTGCTGGGGGCAGGGGCTGGGAGAAAATGAGGAGTGGCTGCTAGCAGGTACAGGGTTTCTTTTGGGAGTGATGAAAATGTCCTAAAATTGTAGTAACAGTTGCACAACCCTGAATATACTAAAAACCATTGAATTGTTCACGTAAATGGCGAATTGCATGGAACGTGAATTGATAAAGCCGTTATTTAAAAAAAAATTTAAAAATCATGCCTGTAATTCCAGCACTTTGGGAGGCTAGGGCAGGCGGATCACCTGAGGCCGGGAGTTCGAGACCATCCTGACCAACATGGAAAAACCCCGTCTACACTAAAAATACAAAATGAGCCGGGCACGGTTGAGAGGATTCGCTGAGTTCGTGTACGTGACGAGTACAGTTGAAGTGTTCAAATGATTCCACTGTAACAGGCAGAGAAACGAACAGGCAGGGCAAAGCGACTCTAAGCTGGGGGGAGGTGGGGACAGGGATTCGGGGAAAGGGCAGTGGGATAAAGAGGAAGGTGAGCTTGACGGGCCTCCTGCAGCTGGCCCGGCCTCCCTGGAGCCCAGGGAGCCTCTGGTCCAAGCTTTGCAGCCTGGAAGCTGCGCGCCTGGGAGGGCTGTGACCGGGGGACCTTGCTGCCGCCCAGTGGAAGTGGCCAGGATTACCGCCACGGGGACTGTGCGCCTGATCCCTACCCATGACCAATTGAGCAGAGCAGTTAAGGGGCGCTGGGGGCCGGGCGGCTCACACCTGTCATCCCAGCACTTTGGGAGCCCGAGGTGGGCGGATCACAAGGTCAGGAGTTCGAGACCAGCCTGGCCAATATGGTGAAACCCCTGTCTCTATTAAAACTACAAAATTAGCAGGGCGTGGTGGTGGGCGCCTGTATTCCCAGCTACTTGGGAGGCTGAGGCAGGAGAATCGCTTGAAAGCGGGAAGTGGAGGTTGCAGTGAGCTGAGATTGCACCACCGTACCCCAGCCTGGGCGACAGAGCGAGACTCTGTCTCGGAAAAACAAAACAGAACAAACAAACAAAAAACATGCGCTGGGCCCCGTAGGAGAGAGACCCTCAGTGAGCTGATAATCGATGAGCTTGAATACAAATAACTGCAGTCTATCCAAATACTTACGGGGGTGAGCACAGGGCCGCACACTGTAGAAATGGAAGGCAGTGGGATCCTGAAGTGCTGGGTCATGGGAGGCTTTGCAATGAAGGGGCGGAAACCGGGAAAGGAACGGCCAAGGCTGCAGGCACAGCATGAGCAAAGCTTGGGACGTGTGCAAGGGCACGGGGAGTCACTGAGCGGGCCCAAGGCTGCCGTTTGCGGCATGGGGCCTGGCACCTAACAGATGTCAATAAATTTATGAATGAATGACTAGATTTCTAGAGCACGTGCTTTTTGTGTGGTTGATAGTCTGAGGAAAGCCTCTCATGGTTTCCAGGTGGACAGGAAGCCACCATCGAGAGGGTCGGATAGCCTGGAGCTTCCTCAGGGAAGGGAAGGAGCCCCTGTGGAGTCCTCCTAAGGATAATGATGCTACTTCTGTCATTACTTTTTTTTTTATACAGTGTCACTCTGTCACCCAGTCTGGAGTGCAGCGGTGTGATCGTGGCTCACCACAACCTCTGCCTCCCAGGTTCAAGCAATGCTTCTGCTTCAGCCTGCTGAGTAGCTGAGACTATCAGTAGGTGCCACCTCGCTTGGCTAATTTTGGTATTTTTTGGAAGAGACGGTATTTTTTCCCCGTGTTGGCCAGGCTGGTCTCAAACTCCTGGCCTCAAGTGATCTGCCCACCTTGGCCTCCCAAAGTTCTGGGATTATAGGCATGAGCCACTGCGCCCGGCCATATTTTTTTGTAGTTTTAGTAGAGACAGGGTTTCCCCATGTTACCCAGGCTGGTCTCGAACCACTGAGCTCAAGGTATCCAGCTGCCTCGGCTCCCAAAGTGCTGGGATTACAGGCGCCAGCCCTGGCACCCAGTTGGTTACTGCTTCTTACGGTGTTTTGTAGACACCTCCACATCGCCTCATGTGCGTCTCTCACAGCTGTGCAGTGGGCAGAGCTGGGCTTGCTGTCATCCTCCATCGCCCGGAGAAGGGGGGTGGTGGAGCTGGGGCTCAAACCCCAGACTCCTTGTTTGAAGCCCAC